GCTCACGTAAACCTTATTCTTCGTTTGTTTTATTAATAGTCCGATTCGTGAAAGCTTTCATTAAATTTCTTTAAAAGTTAACCATTATGTTTATGAATTTTCTCTTTTGTATCTTTTAATAATTTGGTTTAGTGCTTGATTATGATATAGTTTATATATTTTTAGGACAAGTAAACATTTGATGTTGTCTTTTAGCCAAAAAAAACATTTGATGTCTCCTGTTTTATAGTATTATGTAATACTTGGGATAATGTTGGGTAACTCTCATAACATGTTGTCATGTTGAATTGGCTTGAGAAAAACTGTACATGATAATCACTTTCTTGATTGTTTTCTTTATCTTTATGAGTGAGCATTTAGATGGTATATATTGCTATATTTTTGAGTTTGTTGCATTGATGGTTATTCTTTTCTTGTTGTGCCATATATGTAAACAATAATGGGATTGACACATGATTTCGAACACATTTATTGTATGTTACAAAAAAGTGATCAAAATCGTTGTCGTTATTGTATTTGCTACTGGAAGTTAATGAATACAATTCCTATATACAGAGATTTGTGGCATCATCTAGCAAACGGTCTGCAATTCGCTTTGTTGGAGGTACTATTTCCCATTGATGGTATCACTGGAATTAATTTTGTATCTCTGTGAGAAAACGTCACATGTTTCCCCCTGTAATTTATTTGTTATATATAGGTTGGTATAGGAATTATTGTACTTCAACAACTTGGATGAATTAACTGTGTTTTGTTCTATTCGAGTACAATTTTTGAAGCATGTAGAGTCAAATGTTTGCTTTATTCTTTGAATTTCCTAAAAGATGATAAACAGAACTCTTAGAATGCTCTTATCAAACCTTATTTTTCTTTCTCTTTAATTTACGGCATCTAATAATTAGTAACTATGTCCTGATAAAAATCCAAACATGTACTCTTTACAGAAAAAATATTGACAGTTTCGCTATGAAATCCATTCTCTTAGGGTTTAATCCTAAACCTCTCTTTCATGTGGTTCAGTTGCGTGTTCTTCTTTTCTTTTCTTAATTTCACCAATTTTGTATTCACTCATGAAAACTATTACTCACACATATCCTTTACCCACAGTTTGATTAAGAAACAATTGTTGGAATCCCACTATTGCTTATAAGGACTTGCCAGAGGTCACATGATCTCATCGGTATCATGTCAAGGGTAAGGATTAATTATGTTCTTTGTTCCGGGTGATTCAGTTGATGTGTGTGCTCTCCAAGATGGGTTTGGTTAATTGATTATTGTTTTATGTTAATCTTTGGAACAAAAATGTTTGGAGAAGAATTGTTGTTTGATAATTGTTGCAAGAGACGTTTGGGTACTTTGAATGTCCAAACATAGTGAAGACAGTGACAGTAGTAAACCAATGAATAATAAGGTAAAGATCGATG